AGGAATTCCCTCCACATGGGACCAGGAGACCAGCCCCAGGCCGTCACTCTTCCCTGTCCAGAGCCATGGGTAGGAGGGCACTGCTTTCTGCGGACGGTCCAGCCTTGGCCTCATCACGCTCTCCTGGCGGCCCGGTCCCTGTCCACGCTTGGCTCTCTCTGTCCCTCCCTTCAGTGGATCGGGAAGGTTAGATTACCTGAACTGTGCCCTAGGTGAAGGTTTCTCCGGTCGGGGCTCCCAGCCTGAGCAGAGAGGACGTCATTTCCGCAGGGTGGCTGCCCTGCAGAGTCCCTGCGGGGCGCTGGTTCTTGTTGGCACTGAGGCCACTGTCCCGGTTGGTTCTGGCTCTGTCTGCGTGGGGCTGGCCAAGCCAGCTTGGAAGCAATCAGCGCACTAAACCAGCCTCTCTCCGGCGTGGCTGATAACCACACTCTGGCGTATTGGTGAATTTCTCGGGCCAAAGAGCCCGAGGTTCGGATTATGTCCGAGTTCATTGTTTCCCATTTCATTGCGTAGTTTCCCGCCTGGCAGTGGGCGTTCACGCTTGTTCATTCTTTGTACTGTGCAGCCACGTCTTGGAGGAGGAGAGTTTTTAAAGTTTCAACTACGATTCAGTCAAGCAAACAGCTTTTTCAAGTTATTCTCGTCTCTCAGTCCCTTTACCTGAGGCTACAGGGGTGTATGCATCAGAATGTTCTAGAAAGCTTGTTCGTAATATTATGCCTTCAGTTTCTGTACTTCACTCCTCCCAAGACACATTAAAATCATAGGATAGGCAAATATATACCTCTATTTATATAGCGTATGTACATGTACATGTGCCCTATTTTGAGAATTATCTCTCTAAAGAGATTTATTGAAATGGATCCAGCTCTGTGAGTGCTCTTTCTGTGTGCCTCACCCTACGCTGAATTTAATGTTCTTAGTGATTTTGTGAGACACATTGCTATGCATATTTAAGAAGTGTTTTACTGGTGTCACTAATTAAATTCTGGGCTGCACGTACATGTTGGCCTGATCGGGACTCTGCGCGTAGCCGGGTGAGAAGGTAGTGCAGCCAATACGGTGTTTACGTTCTTGATTTGGGAGTAAGGAGCAAGACGGGCTGCCTGTCAACACCTCCGCTGTCACGTTAGGGAGTCAGCTCAGGACCGTGACCCGAGTACGTAAGGGGCCTTGCCTGGTGCGACCTTGGGCCAGGGTCACCCAGGGGCGAGTGTCAGCAAAGCCAACCAGGACGTGCAGAAGGTACTTTAGCCCAAAACTTTGTTTTTCCTTTGAAACAGCTGGATGGAAGCGGCTCTAGATTTCTTCTGGAGACTGAACCATGGCAAGGCCAGCAGAGGGGGCCCCACTGCAACCCACTCTGCTTACCTTGCACTTACTCTAGGGAGCCGTCTTTTAAAATGCTGCCCATCCTGAAGGGAGAGTGTGGTCTATGGGCCCAGCTCCGAGATGCTTGTGGGGGTTGGACAGAACCACAGCCCGCTGGATCCCAAGAAAACCCCTGGTGTCCCCGTGCAGAGAGCCCTCTGACTGAGCGGTAACTGCCAAGGCCTCCGGGGAAGCCTAGCTGTGCAGAAGTTCCGTCCTAAATCTAAGAGGTGGTCAGATCCTGCGTTCCCTGAGGTTTCCACGAGTCTGGCAAAACAATGAACTGGAGAAAGCCTTTACTCAAGGTCAGTGGGGTCAACAGCATAATCTAACCAAGCTCAAAAGGTAGCCACTTTCAGACCTTGCAGGATAAAATGGGGCGTCTGTTGCCGGTAAGTAGTACTTACAATAGAAATGACTACAAGTGCTGCCTGTATGGGGAAAGAGTCACATTAAACATAACTTTTACCGCTAGCCCAGTAATTAAACAGCAAACCGGTGAAGGTTTCTATTAAAAACAAAAGTCACCCTGGTTATGTTCACACATTGAGGGCAGTCATCTGCTGCGTCTGCGTCTTGGACTTGGGTTTATTTCACCTCGAAGGAGCAGGGGACCGTGATCTGCCGAGCAGGAAATATAATTCGCATTGTCACATCAATTTTTCACTTGAAGTGGGCTTTGAAAAATAGGGATTTTTCTACCAGGTCTATATTTTAAAGTAAGAAGAGACTTTTCGCTTAAATATGCTTTTAAAATTTTTATTCCCACTGTAGTCATTAGACAAACCTGCGCAGCTCCTGAAGAGAATGTTTGATATTTGTGTTGTCATAGAGTGCTGCGGACTCACATTTTACAGGCGGTGTTAATGCATTTCGATATCATCCTGGCAACAATAAATAGAATTTTGCTCTACTGCCTGGGTTTATAGAGAAAATACTTTAGTGAAAATTCCATAGAATTGGACTCAAAGTTATCAATATGTTAAATGTGTAAACACTGATATAAAATTAATGGCAATAATTCTGAAAAACGATTTGTAGGAGCCACACATATGAAAACCATCACTTAGCTTAGATGCTTTAGCACAGGATTTTTACCTTTAAACCCTTATGTTCAAACTGACTCAGAATATAAGATTTACAAGCACAC